GCACATCTCGCTTTTCAGACCGATGAGCTTTGTAAAAATCGACGCGTTTCAGAAAGGCGGGGCATAGAGGAGAAACAATAACGTACAGTATGTGGAAAATAATGTGTTTTTTTTTTACCTGAAACCGCATAAACACATTTCATTACACCAAATAATGTTCTTTTTAGCAACATCATATGACCCCTTTAATATCCTTTAATAAATAATAATTTTGACCCATACATTGTGTTGTTGGCTATTGCTACAACTATACCCGTGCTACCTAAGACTGGTTTTGTGGTCCAGGGTCACAAATGATCTCAGATATTGTTTGTGGGTCCTTTTTTGGTAATTTGCCCTTTTGAGTCCCTTGACATTTGAACACCCAATGCATGGTGCATTCAAATAATTTCAGAAAGATTGCATTTACAAGTTGAACACCGTTGAATTGGGGAAACTCAGAATTTTGGAAGCCCAGAGCTTCCAAGTTGGGGATGGTAAATTTGTTCAAATACCTGAAACCGCATAAACACATTTCATTACACCAAATAATGTTCTTTTTAGCAACATCATATGACCCCTTTAATATCCTAATGACTTTTGGCATAAAAAATAAATAAATAATAATTTTGACCCATACATTGTGTTGTTGGCTGTTGCTACAACTATACCCGTGCTACCTAAGACTGGTTTTGTGGTCCAGGGTCACAAATGATCTCAGATATTGTTTGTGGGTCCTTTTTTGGTAATTTGCCCTTTTGAGTCCCTTGACATTTGAACACCCAATGCATGGTGCATTCAAATAATTTCAGAAAGATTGCATTTACAAGTTGAACACCGTTGAATTGGGGAAACTCAGAATTTTGGAAGCCCAGAGCTTCCAAGTTGGGGATGGTAAATTTGTTCAAATTAATGAAATGATTAAGATTTTTTTCCCATTCACAATAAACCTTTCCAAGCTGCATGTATACGATATAATATGCAACTATTTAATTTACAGCACCTTTATAAATGTAATAAAAACATTTCAAAATAGAAATACAGATGCATATTCTTTATTCATCTTTAGCTTTTCCGTTCATTTAAAGTCTTATTATACCACCCTTACAATATCGATCAGTGCATGTGGTTTGTGGTTTTGCATACATGTGTGAGGGTACGGATTAAGACAGAAACACAATTATTAAGAAAAAATGGTCAGCGAGATCAGGCACCTGAACAGCATTCAGTTTGGAAGTTTTTCTTCCACAGTCAGCAGTGATGCTGTCATACTTGTAGCAGAGATGTTGAAAGTATTTGTTGAAGGTAAGGCAAACTTTACATATGCAGTCATTTTGTACTTTGTTACAGTACAGTGTAATATAATTTCCTTCAGTAATATGACAATTGTCTGTATGCTACAGAGGCGGCACGCAGAGCTGTAAAACAGGCCGACAGTGAGGACTGTGACACTGTTGATATTGAACACTTTGAAAAGATTCTGCCACAACTGGTGAGTTTTATGTTTATGCATGTGCTTGATGTATCTTGTGTTTTTTATTAAAAAAAAATATATTTTTGTTGTGAGTTTTATTATTTTGATTACAAATAATGTATGGTCATGTTATTTAGCCCTCTGCTAAGAATTAATCTACTCAAATTGAATTTTTATATATTTATAAACATTTATATATTTATATTTCTAGAAACATTTACATATTATTAAATTTAAAAAAAAAATTTCCAAAGAAAAAGGATTTTGAAATGTATGCTACACAATTCTGTGCTCTTTTGTCAGTTGTTCCTGTGCTTTTAATAAATCGTAAAATATTAGTTATTTTTCCGTCTCATTTTGTGTATTTTCTGTTCCATAGTGAAACTAGTTTCTCACAGTGTATTAATATGAAATTTCCTTTGCAGCTTCTTGACTTTTAATTTTGCTGAGGAGCCAGCAGATGGCAACATAACCTAGTTCTGCTGAACATGAACATCCTGGACTTCACTTTGAATATTCGCACATGCTTCAATCTTTAGACTTTGTATTAAAATGTATTAGATGTATGACTGATTTAATTAAAAAACTTATTTTATCAACAGTTATTTTACATGTCATTCAATTCGCATCAGGTTCTCTTAAACTTAGCGTTTTAACAACGCGCCGCCAGCAGTTTTCTGTGACGATGGGCCGATTGGAATGCCTGCTGGGTAACAGTGCTGTTATTGCCTCCTGGTAAAGAGGTCTCGAGTCTCACCCCGTGGCTCTGTAGGCCACCTGTGCTCTTCTCAGCGGCAGGTGCTTCCAGCATGCTTTGCCCCGCTCCCCCATCAAAGCCTCTTGAAGCAGTTGGAATTGATTAAAGTAATAAGGGAGGCAGCAAAGACCCTTAGATGATGACAAGTGGCAGGAAAAAGAAGCACCCCCCTCCGGTCACTTTGAAGTTTCCCCCCTTCCCCTCGCTGTCCTGCAATGTGGTATAGTTGAAGGTGTCACGGAGGTGAGAGGGCACAGGGCGGAATGTGTGTGTGAGTCTCCCGTGTGTGTGCGCGGAGAGAGTGTCAGCTTGTTAAAATTATTGCGACCACACGCATAGTAGTTCAGTTTTAGTGGAAGCATAACAAAACAAATTGGAACCAAAGAACATGACACAGGAAGAGAGGGGTGTAATTTTGAGTGTAAATAAACAAGACGTTGAGTCGCTCAAGGGGGCTCCCGGTCTTTCATCAAGGCAGAGAGAAAGCTTTTTGCTCTGATAATTGCGCTCTTGGAGTTAGTCGAACCTGCCGCCAGTGAGTTTCCAGTTGTGATGTTAAGGGCTTTGCTTGAATGGGTTTGTTATTAGATAAGCAAAGCAAAAGGAAAGATCAACATGTTGTATTTTGTTAGATCATGTAGTTAAGGGCAATAGCAAGACATACTGCTTGTATGTTGGAAACAAAAGCTTATTTGCTTAATTTTTTTTCAGGTCTGGAAAGTTAATTTAACCCTAGGAATTTCTGTTGTGTGTGTGATGTTCAGCTTTAAATAGTTCATAGGACATTGCAGAAACCCTTTGCTTAAAGTCTATATGTATAATGCATTATAAAGGTATTCATAATGTGTGTTGTAATGCATTATATCTTTTCATTAAAAAATTAACCAAAGTTAAAAGGCATAACATTTGAAGGTTTGTTTGTCTTGTTTTAATGCATTCTAATTTTTTAAGTATAACAATGAATAAATTATAATGTATTATAACTGTGGTTACAATTATTTACGAGATTATATAATGCATTACAAGGCATAAGTAACGCATTCAAACTTTTATTAATGCATTATATAAAAGCTTTAAGCCAAGTGTTACAGAAATCCAAATTTCGTTTATCCATATGAAAATCATGGATGTCTGGTCAAAATGTGGGTGTCCTGTTCAATATTATTGTAATTTTTATTGAACATAACTGCTTTATAAAATCATACACCTTTGAACTTCACTGCAAACTTTGTAATTAAACTTTACTAGGCAAATAATGAATGCTTTGTGTCCACTGTAATTTCTTATTTTTTAAAGCGGTTTTTGCATAGGAATTAATTTGTTTAAAAGCATTTCTACCTTCATAATCACCCATATTGTATTATCCGTTTTACGTTTATTCCAGGTTTATTCCAGTGAACATAGAAGATTTTGATCTTTTTTCTGTCTTTTGAGAAGGTTTGTACAACCTTTTCAGAAAGAAGCAGTTTTTACCCGATGCAAAATCCTTAGGTTGGAAACCATTAAAGGGGGACCATCATATACTTGGCATATTTACCATTTGTCAAAAGTCAATTTAATAGCAAAACATCTTTGTTTAATTACTTTGGGTGGTTCTGTCTTTCAAGAACAGCTTTGCTTATTTATGAGTCATTGGGAGTTATTTCAAACAACTGATTATTGTAAAAGTCTTTGTGTTAATTATGCAGAATTAAAAACAAATTTCAGATTTTTGTCCAGCACCGCTCATCATTTGCAGCCATTTCATGCAGTCTTGATAATGATTATTGTTTAATGTTATGAAATAACTAAATTCATTTAGATGTATCACTTTCAACATGTTAATGGTACACTTGTCTATTGTGAGAATATATTTCTAGCCTGTCCATTTTAGTTTTCTGTTTGGCATATATGATCATTGCAACTCCTTGTGCATCTTAGTGGAACAAATTACCTCTGAAGGCAGCATTATTAAACATTTGAAAGTAGTTAAGACAAGAGTGGAGGAGTGGGTTGAAAAGAATAATGAGTTAAAGCTTTTCTTGATCCTACATTAAAGACTGGGAGTGTCAACAGCCATTCCAGACGCTTTGGAGAAGCTCTGGAGCGCTGAGCACTTTCCCTGTGAGACAGAGACTGATCCGTTTCCAATTCGGCAGTAGAGCCTTGGATGGGTCTACACATAAGTCAGCATTCAGGTCTGTGGTTTGTGAGTAAGGCAGTGAATTAGATATGATGTTATGAAGGCAGGAGTTACTACGCCGTGGCATTCTGACTAGTAAGGAGATCAATCTTCTACAGTAGCTCCATGGGATTTCACCCCCCATATTTCCTTTGATGTATTAGTAAATCTCATTAAAGAGAACGTCTTTATCACTGTCATTTCTGCCAAAAAAACATTAACTCCTGGAATAGTTCCTGAAAGGAATGTTCCAGATTCAATAAAAGTAAAGTTATATTGTGGTGGAGAAAATAAATATGTAAATTGGGCTTGTTAATGAATTGATTACAACACAAAATCATCCATCTTAAAGGGATAGTTCACCCAAAAATGTTCACCGAGATGTAGGTGACTTTGTTTCTTCAGTAGAACACAAATTATGATTTTTAAGTCCAGCCGTTGCAGTCTATCAGTCGTATAATGCATGGCAATGGTAACAAAATCTATGAGAGTAAAAAAAACATGCACAGACAAATCCAAATTAAGCCCTGCAGCTCGTGACGACACATTGATATCCTAAGACACGAAACGATCGGTTTGTGCGAGAAACCGATCAGTATTTATATAATTTTTTACCTCTAGTACACCACTATGTCCAACTTCCTTGAGCGCGCGCACGGCATCCGATGCGTGAGGTGAGAACGCGCTCTGGTGTAGTTTACGCAAGCGCCCGAAGTGATCTCTCGCGCGCATACGGCACTCATTGTTTGCACAGTTATTGTAGGTATGATGGCTAATCAAAATGGTACTTACTTGCGCTTATCCGGATTATTCAAACCGACTTAAAACTTAAAGATTACGTTCTCTCGCGCAAACTCATTCGGGAGTGGTGACTTTCCACGTATTCCCAACTTCTGAGCCTTTTTTTTTGTGTGGTTTACAGGTCTGGAAAATGTATTTAACCATGGGAATTTGTGTATAGTGAATAATTTTTTTCTAGTAATGTTCAGCTTAAAATATTTAATAGGCTAGAAATTGCTTTTAGCGAATATGTCTATAAATTTGAGGAAATCCAGATACCATTTGAGTGAAAATCATAGGTGTCTGGTCAAAATGTGGGAGTCGTATTGTGCTTTTTATTGAACATAACTGCTTTATAAAATCATACATCTTTGCAGTTTGTTTCAAACTTGATAATTAAACTTCAGTATTAGGTAAATTATGAATGTTTTGTGTTAGCTGTATTTTTTATTATAATTGTCCTTATTTTATTATCAGTTTTGCTTTAATTCCAGGTTTATCCATTGGAACAGAGTAGACGTTGACCCTTTTCCTGCCTTATGAGAAGGTTCGTCAAAATGTTTCAGAAAGAGGCAGCTTTTGTCTCTGATGAAAAATGCTTAGGTTGCAAGTTGGAAATCATTAAAGGGTCCATCAGTGTATTCTTATGTCATATTTACCATTTGTGAAAAAAGAGTCAATTTAATAGCAAAGCATCTTTGTTTAATTACGTTGGGCGGTTCTCTGTCTTTCAAGAACAGCTTTGCTTATATATATGAGTCATTGGGAGTTATTTCAAACAACTGATTATTGTAAAAGTCTTTGTGTTAATTATGCAGAATTAAAAACAAATTTCAGATTTTTGTCCAGCACCGCTCATCATTTGCAGCCATTTCATGCAGTCTTGATAATGATTATTGTTTAATGTTATGAAATAACTAAATTCATTTAGATGTATCACTTTCAACATGTTAATGGTACACTTGTCTATTGTGAGAATATATTTCTAGCCTGTCCATTTTAGTTTTCTGTTTGGCATATATGATCATTGCAACTCCTTGTGCATCTTAGTGGAACAAATTACCTCTGAAGGCAGCATTATTAAACATTTGAAAGTAGTTAAGACAAGAGTGGAGGAGTGGGTTGAAAAGAATAATGAGTTAAAGCTTTTCTTGATCCTACATTAAAGACTGGGAGTGTCAACAGCCATTCCAGACGCTTTGGAGAAGCTCTGGAGCGCTGAGCACTTTCCCTGTGAGACAGAGACTGATCCGTTTCCAATTCGGCAGTGGATGGGTGGATGGGTCTACACATAAGTCAGCATTCAGGTCTGTGGTTTGTGAGTAAGGCAGTGAATTAGATATGATGGCAGGAGTTAAGGAGTTACTATGGCGTGGCATTCTGACTAGTCAGGAGATCAGTGTTCTACAGTAGCTCCATGGGACTTCACCCCTCAAATTTCCATTGTATTTGTAAATCTCATTGGAAGATTGGAAATATTTTTGCACAGTTAGGGTGTCTGATTCACAAATATGTTGTTCATACTGTAACAGAAGCAAGAACCAACAATATTCATAATATTCAAATCAATCATAGAGCCAACATTATTCATAATGTACAAATCAGTTTATTAAACTACTAGATTAGAAGGCAATTAAGAACAGGAGAACTGTGTGCATATTGCTTCTGAATGAATGTAACATATTAAGTTCTATGGAATGCAAGTTCTAACCGTTGCAGTCTATCAGTCGTATAATGCATGGCAATGGTAACAAAATCTATGAGAGTAAAAAAAACATGCACAGACAAATCCAAATTAAACCCTGCGGCTTGTGACGACA